CAAATCATGATTTTGCATGGACAAGACTTTTGTGCGAGTGTGTGGCTAGTTAATTTATCATATCCAGTATAAAAGTTATCCCAAGCAATGGAGTATAACATATATGGCAATCTATGAACTTCTTCCATCTGGCAGTAAATGGGTATTCTTTATAGCTTGCTGTTCGGTGTAAGCCAAGGCTCCGTGTTGAACTTGAGGCCGTAATTTGACCTATAATTTTTCATTTTTACAAATTTTGACTTGGATATAGAGTTGTCTCATTGGCACTCATACCACATCTTCTTATATCTATTCGCTTCATTGTGCTGAATGTATAAACACGCAGCCACGTCCGATGCCACATCTCCTTTACGTTAGCATATATATATATACCCTTGCAACAACTCTTTCAGCTAGGGATTTGATGGCAAAAAAATCATTTTCGAGTTGCATTCGAAATTTCTGTTCTTCATCGTGTTCTTCCAAGTCGTTCCACTTATTGAATTATTGTTGATTTGGTCTCGTTCCGAATATGCATGAGCTATTTGTCACTCGACGCCAAGCAAATCCGTCAATCATTTTGCACCTTAAGATGCCGAAAACTTTGCAGTAGAATGTAAAAAAATTCTCATTTGTATTTCAAGGTGCATTCACACTAAAATTGTTCATTCTTTTTTAAGTCTCAAACCTTCATGGAAAGCTTGTATTAATTCAATGGACAACCGACTGAATAAATCAATAACAACACTTAACTGTTCTATCACGCTTAACATTACCTTTCAAAGAATGTGCGATGGGTGCGCTGAAGGTTAGAAAAAGAGTTGAATTCAAACGGTATTGAATAAAGACCAAGAGCTAGTGTTTGTCATAGAATGTGGACATACTGAGTGTTTTAAGTCAAGAAAATAGTTATAGGACACGGTGGTACTATCTGGATGCACAAACGGGAAAAGTTACCCGAGATGTTGAGATATTGAAATATAAGCGAAAAAAGGTTAAGTTCCGCTTAACTTCTATAAAGGAATTTAGCCTAAATAAAAAAAGAGTGTTTAAACAATCTCTGCAATTGTTTAGTCATGACACAGTCTTTCGAATGAACTTGTACTTATTATATCTGCTAAAATGTAAAATGAAATTAGAAAAAAACTTTTCCAAATGGGATTCATGTCTAACATTGACAATATCACTTAATGATTTTGATGCGTCCAAAGCGCTTTTCTGTATTTACCTTTATTTTGATATCCAAAGTTATAACACACCATACAACTAATTGGTTAAATGTGTCTTCTTAAAACTAAGGAATATAAGTATGAGTATGATGGCCATAAAATCAGTAGGACATCATCGTTTTCGAAGCAATAACATAAAGGTGTTAATTCTGTTTATTTATGTTTACCTTACTATCTTTACATATAAAAGATCATAAACTTGAAATAGATATTTAACCAAATTTGATTACATAATACTTTTTATTTATTATTAGTGGCCAAAGTTATGTATACCACATGTATTGAAGAAGTGAAATCAATTTTGTAAAAAATCGTTCTCAATTTTAAACTTGCAAAATTTGTTAGATTTCTCAGATGCATTTCGCCATCTTGCAGTTCAAAGATGAAAAAAGAAGTAAACATTTCACTAAGTTCATTAATAGTTAAATTGAGTTAATATGAGTTTATAATTTTTCTCTGTACCGATGTAATGCATTGTCTGTATGAGAATCAAAATATATGTAGTCATTGAACCAGACATGGCAAAATTCAATATTTTAGGTGGGCAGATTTCTTTTTTTTCTTTTCTCTGTTTTTTTTTGTTTTTTTTTTGTCTTATAAAATCAAATACTTCTATTTTTCTTAACAGAGTTTGCATGTTTAGAAAAATGTTCAAAGATTAAGAAAGAATTTTTTACAATAGATACGCATCTCGTATAATAAAAACTAATTGAAATTATTATATATAAACCGTAATAATTCTAATTTGATTCTAAACTCGGTTTCCTATTAAGATTACAAATTATTATACTATTGGAATTAAGCGTGGATATCGATCATCAAACATTCAAAACCTGTTGTGATCCGATATTTAATTATTTATGTACACAAGTTGGCGTGCAAAAATCAACATGTTCCTCGGAAATACTGATAAACTCGTTTCCCTTTATAAGAAAATTGAGTTACCTCCCTTTTTTGAGTACGAGTTGTCTTTCTTGACCGAACTAATAGTTCAGTATGGTAAATTTATCAAATTGGTCTAAATTTATAGGTTGCATGTAAAATAGCATTAACATTTGAATATTTTTTTTTTAAATCGCTATTTCTCGAAAACCCATATTTCAATTTTCCTTTAAAAATGATATGGTTTGTAACAGATATTCCTTTATTGAGCTTTATATTCACATTAAGGTTGCATTTAATACACCCGCAGAGCAAAACAGACACCCAACCTCTCAACACTAGCACTTTTTTTGTTTAAATGGTTCCCGTATATTTAGTTGTTCCATTTTAGGACGCTATACGTTCCGAACGGATTTTAACCAATAAATGTTCACATCACCGAAGGGAGCAGATTCGGTACGCCTTAATTTAAAAAGTTTAATTTTTAAAAGTATGCAAGGCTTCTAAAATTATATCAAATGCTTGAAAATTAAAAAACACCCGCGCACTCGTATGCATCTAGATTGTATTAGCATGTTTATTTTCAAACTTAACATTATCAACTGATAAACTACATTTACATTTACATTGATTTAGTAATAACTGATGTTGAAAGACGAACGAAAGTATCTTCGTCAAGTTAAATTGTTTTTCTCTCTGTTTGTCATGGAATCATTTTTTCAGTTAGACCAATTTTATTTTTATTTAAAAACGGTATAGTGCGTTGTTGGAAGGAATTGTACCAATCTTATTTCATTTTTGTACGTTGTGCTGCGTGATTGTTTGGAAATTATTTTCTTTATGTGTATTGGAAGTCGACTCCTTTCCGGAACATGTTCTTAAATAGAGAACCGCAAAATGAAGGTCACATTTAATTGATTTAAGACTGCATCTGTGTTATCTGCACCTTCAAAATGAATTGACTGTATGAACGGTGTGCAAACTTGGCTTTATATACAGTCAGTGACCGTATTAGCCTCGATTGTGACGTTCACGTGTTTCCGTATCTTTGACGTGGAAAATGCAGGTTTTCTCGTCGTCCGCAACAAATTCAATTTTTTTTATTACTTCTCAAATATTTTATTAGAAAGCTTTTTATGAGTTGCAGTATAAGGAGATCAACATTAAATTGGCATAAATTCGATTCGAAGCAGAAGGACATTCGGGAATCATTTCATTCCAAAACTTTTCCAAAGATAATCCATACACTATAAGGTATGGGGAAAATCTGACCCCTCCCTCCCCCCCCCCCCCCCCCCCCTGAAGTTAAATGGTCGTTCCTTAATGAAAAGTCAGCAAAACATACTTCTCTTTGCATGTCAGTTTCTTGACACGGAGTTATACTGATTAGACAATAAAAAGACAGTCACCATTTAGTATTATGTTTTTTTTTGTCTATTGAGAATGTAGGGTTGGTTTGATCTAAGTAATTCTCTGTATTCACAAATTAATTATCTAAACTTAATGCGATTAAAAACTCTTCATATAGTGATGGCGATTGTTTGTCGTTGACGTATTGTTACTTCTTTTAATGTTCACCCCATAATCCGTCCATTCACATCGAACACCCCTCATTGATATAATAAACAGAAACAGTCAATATTAGACAGATCTTAAATAGGATCCAATGAAGTATTCTTAAAGGAAAAATGTCAGAAATTCCAAACTGGTTAAGACTTCGACACAACTGACAAATCTCTCTAGTGCAAATGGCTATTTCGCTTTTAAGTCGCTTCTATGAGACTTTAATAAGTCTTTGCAACGCAGATAACATGCGCGGTACTTCTGCTTATGTGCTTAAGTTCAAACTATTCAGGCGTGAAAAAGCATAGCTTTGACATCATAATATGACCAGATAGGTGAGAATGTTCTTTGTGTATTCTTGTGTCTATACACAAAGTATCTATATACAGTATCTATAATACCAAAGCAAGTAATTTGCCGGATTTTCAGGAAACATGTGGTTCAAACTGAACGATATATAGTTTAAACTGTGCATGTTGCTCTCGCCTCGCTGTTACCTAACATGCATAAACCTTTATTGCGTTTATTTACAGATGCATTTTGTATGCACTTCTCCCAACCATAGAAAATTCAAGAATTCTTTTACATCACAAATATTCATACTACATGTAGGTTCTATTTCTCACATGACTAATGCAGTTGGGTGTTACCGTTTAGACAGCAAATAGTACACCCTTTTTGATCCTTATGTAGCATACGCTTATACTAATGTTATAAGTGTTATCCCTATTTGCATCGAACCACTTTTACAAATATTATAGACTGGCGGGAACATTCAATGTTATAATCTATCAAACACTAACGATGATTGTGTGAATCTTGTCATTGGATTTTTGTTTGTATTCAAATTGAAATAAGTTAAACTGTTGACACAGAGATATGTTTCGCCTGTCTGCATAAAATTCAGAAAAAGACAATCTGATGGACAGCAACATTGCTATTTAATTTAAAGTCGCAGGAACAACTAGTGGGCATGGCCTCAAAATGGTTGACAAACTGATATGTATTGATAGAAATTATCATTGATCTATTACAAGTAGTTCCTATTAAACTAACTTAAGCAGACAACTTAACATTTAAAATTGCTAATTGATTCAAAGTCACTTGACCATGGTCTAGTGGGCAGGGCCTCAAATAGTCGTCAAACTGATATGTACTGGTAGTAATGCAACTTCATACAAAATATCATTGATCTATCACAAGTAATTCCTATCAAACTTACATGAGCAGAAAACTTAACATTTTTTTACGCCGTCGTCGTCGTCGTCGCCGGAAAAGCAATCCCTATGTCTCGCTTTCTGAGACTTTCGTCGCAGGCGAGACAAAAAATAAAAAATGACTCGGCTGTATTCATAAATATCTATTTCAAGTGTATGTATCATATCTTTATATGTAGATTTTTAAAAAAATTATCAGTATCTTATAATTTATTTACATGATCCTGAAACTAACAAGTATTCTCTGTTATAAAGCACATGCACCATACTTGAACAACCTGTCGACAATAGATTTCTGTGAATCAGTGATAGTGGTAGTGTTACTAGTATGTATTTATGAGAACCATGTTTTCTGAGACGAATTAAAAAAAAATACAATATATACTCGATGAATTTTGCAACGCAGACAATTCTTTTTCTGTTAGTTGGTGATCATCATGACTATACATTCTTTTTCCTAAGGATCAAAATGATCAATGATCGTATTGTCCATTTTGAGAACCTGTGATTCTTTTTGTAGTTGCAACGCTTATGCCGAACACGGAATGTGTTTTGAATCAGGTAATATCGACCACTTCAATATTTATCTGCATCGCACTCTGTCGAAAACATTTAGTAAGGCTATCATAATAGACATGACCAAAATAAATCCTAGGACAGATAGTCCTAACATAAAGGCATTGTTCGGTGTATCTATCACCCTCCCGCTATCCGTAATGTCAAAGATTCTAGTATTTTCGGTTGTATCGAAAGTTTGTTTCAGTGTCGATTCATCTGTAAAAGAAAACAAAAACATTTAAACTGAAAAATTTACCATGGTTAATATTCATCTATTATATGAAGATTTTCAAATCAAAGTAGATAGAAGCTGAAGCCCGCCTCCGGGTGCGGGATTTTCTTGCTGTGTTGAAGACCCATTGGTGGCCTTGGGCTGTTTTCTGCTCTTTGGTCGGGTTGTTGTCTCTTTGACACATTCCCCATTTCCATTCTCAATTTTATGATCCTTTTTATGCCGGTGAAATATCTCCAAACATATATTGGAGCGATTCTTTAAATAATTGTGTTATCTAATATTTATCATTAGAAAGCCAGGTTTGTAATCAAATCTTATTAATTTTTACATATATTATAACAATTAAGAATAAAAATTATAAATGACGAAACCCCAAAGTTTGATCAAATGACTAAATTGGAACATCCAAAACGTTTTAAAAGAAATAAGTATACACTTGTCAGGTATTCTTTAAAAAAGTTTCACGATGCAAAACCTATTACTTATATTATTTGTATTACATTCACCCATAGTAACCCCGTACCCCTAGCACTTTAACATGTATGGCCGCCATTCATAGTCCCTCCTCTTCATATTTTTTCTGGATATCTAACCTCATCCTTGTATGATATTGTAGTCCCATATATATCAAATCCGGAACTTAAATGGCAACATAATGCTGACAAAATAACGATAAAACACAGCAATTATACATGTAGTTTGCCTGAACTTTATAGAGCTTATTATTATTCAATAAAACACATACTAGTATGCACACATAAAAATGTTAAACTCCATTTTTATAGAGTATGGTTCTGTGGGACTTTTATTTTAATCGCAGGAGGTCAACGAACATACCATATACTATCATTCTTTAAATAGGAACTTCTATGTATTAAACACGTCAGGAACTGTGATCTCTGAAAATAAATTATATATAAACACCTGAAAATCTCAAGACACAGTTTTAAAACAATCAACCTCAATGTGCATAGGTATCGCATTCGATTGGTTTGGTTATTCTTTGCAAATTAACCCTTACATCTTTTATACGGCCTTAATGTTAAAGTGGATAATATTCAAGACACATACATATATGTTTTCAGTAGAAAGACCTAAATTAACAACTTGAAAATAATACAAATATTTGTTTCACTCAGGAATTAAAATATATCAGATAATATGGTGTTGAAGTTGATTGGATCATCGCAATAAAATCCTCACAGTATATCGCTGGTACATGTATATATACGATAGTTAATAGTAAGGTTTCAAATTTTTTCCAGTATTTGCAAAAAATTGATCAATGATATAAATAGGACTAGACAAACTTCTGAATTTTTCTCTTATACACACAATCATTATAATATGATAATTTCATTATATTGAGCATGTACATACAAAAGTAAAAAATTCTAACTGGAGTATAATTACATGTAATGCTTGATAAATTATGAGAATACCTATAGTTTTGTGGTTAAAATGTAAGTGTAGTTTAACATGTTTTTTTGTGCACATATGGAACTGGTTTTACCCCACCATGTACATTTTGTGTGTACCAATTCCATGCTATTCGGGCCATGTCCTGTTCGTTCTTGTTTGTCATTGTTTGTACATCCATTAAAACTCAAACGGAGAGGCGCTTTAATTATCTATTATGGTGCTATTCTCGTTGCTAGTCAAGTTAGACTGTCACTATAAACGAGTGTATGTTGGATGATGACATGTTTTTTATTGCGAAAAGCCATCCACGCGAAGAGAACTTTGCATAAAAAGTAAAATAACAAAAATACCGAACTCCAAGGAAAATTCAAATTGGAAACAACTGTCATATTCCTGACTTGGTACGGTCATTCCCTTATGTAGAAAATGGTAGATCTGATTTAACCTTCACTTTCTGATCTACCGTTGATGTGTATTCATATATCTCGCATAATCAAACAGACGGCCCTTGTTGGGGAGTCACGGAGACGAAGACAATGAGACCAATCATACCATGAGAACCGTCCGGGGAGTATATTTTGAAACTTTAAAAGAAGTGAAAATTTTTCAATATGAACGAAGAAAAGCTATTTTTTTATTTTCTTCTTTGGTTAAGTATTTCTTTCTGAAATTAGCTATAGTTAACCATCCTTTCGAATGTCCCATGTCAACCAATAAGTTTTTAATATAAAATTTATAAAGTTGCAGTGTAAATTTGTGAAATATCTGATAATTTAAAATACTTGTATTGCATTATTACATTTTTTTTCTTTTTCGATCGAATGGCTTATCACGGACACCATTTACACGTTTATAATAAAATTTTCAAAAACACTAAAAAAAGTACAAAATAAAAGCTAAGTCTATATAACCTAAATTACCTGCCACGAATTATTAATTATCCAATAGTTTTACTGAATTTCTAACAGAAAGTATGAAGTTTCAACAATTGTTTTCGACTGGTTCAGGATGTAAATGTAAATCGCTCCCCTCGGGATATACTAACATAAATCTGTCTATATTCAGTATAAAACATGTCTAAAATTCAGCTAGTGTACATGTGGAACGTGTATTTTATGTTTTGTTTTTGGAGGTGTAATATTTGTTGAATTGGACACAATTAATGTAAACAAAACAAAATTGACAGGAGGGAGCAATCAATATTATGTCAAACTGGAAAAAAAGAAAACACCATTGTCAAAAGCAGAACAAGCAAAATTACAAATTATTCTGTATATATATATATATATACAAGTCTAAATTGAAAACAACGTTCAAACCTATGATTGCGTTGGATAAAAACCGCAATTTTTATACGTGTGCATGCAAAACAAATTTCTTTGTAGAGGGGTCTAAATACAGCACAAACAACATTTTCCAAAAGACCAAAAAAGTGAAAAAGTATATTTTAACAAAACGCATTTGACTAGCAGGTCGAACAACGGATGTTCTTAAACCCTGCTGACTGCCATGGCGATTGCCAAATAAACGGATCACAGATGTAACACAATGGATCTTAATTATATTAATTTAATACCAAACAGAAAACAATAAACTTGCGGAAAAGATGGTATATCGCAAACATGAGGTGCAAAAATTTGTACACCATATCCGGATTTCGACAATTAATGTCTCTTCAGTGATGTTAGGAATCGAAACGGTATTTGGAAGGCCATATAATTTACCTCAATTTGGGATTGACTCTTGAATTTTGACGAGTCGAAATAGGATGAACGGATCATATAAACCCGAAGGCAAATATAATACAAGCCCAAACGAAAAAATATAAACAAGTCTAAATTGAAAACAACGTTCAAACCTATGATTGCGTTGGATAAAAACCGGAATTTTTATACGTGTGCATGCAAAACAAATTTCTTTGTAGAGGGGTCTAAATACAGCACAAACAACATTTTCCAAAAGACCAAAAAAGTGAAAAAGTATATTTTAACAAAACGCATTTGACTAGCAGGTCGAACAACGGATGTTCTTAAACCCTGCTGACTGCCATGGCGATTGCCAAATAAACGGATCACAGATGTAACACAATGGATCTTAATTATATTAATTTAATACCAAACAGAAAACAATAAACTTGCGGAAAAGATGGTATATCGCAAACATGAGGTGCAAAAATTTGTACACCATATCCGGATTTCGACAATTAATGTCTCTTCAGTGATGTTAGGAATCGAAACGGTATTTGGAAGGCCATATAATTTACCTCAATTTGGGATTGACTCTTGAATTTTGACGAGTCGAAATAGGATGAACGGATCATATAAACCCGAAGGCAAATATAATACAAGCCCAAACGAAAAAATATAAACAAGTCTAAATTGAAAACAACGTTCAAACCTATGATTGCGTTGGATAAAAACCGGAATTTTTATACGTGTGCATGCAAAACAAATTTCTTTGTAGAGGGGTCTAAATACAGCACAAACAACATTTTCCAAAAGACCAAAAAAGTGAAAAAGTATATTTTAACAAAACGCATTTGACTAGCAGGTCGAACAACGGATGTTCTTAAACCCTGCTGACTGCCATGGCGATTGCCAAATAAACGGATCACAGATGTAACACAATGGATCTTAATTATATTAATTTAATACCAAACAGAAAACAATAAACTTGCGGAAAAGATGGTATATCGCAAACATGAGGTGCAAAAATTTGTACACCATATCCGGATTTCGACAATTAATGTCTCTTCAGTGATGTTAGGAATCGAAACGGTATTTGGAAGGCCATATAATTTACCTCAATTTGGGATTGACTCTTGAATTTTGACGAGTCGAAATAGGATGAACGGATCATATAAACCCGAAGGCAAATATAATACAAGCCCAAACGAAAAAATATAAACAAGTCTAAATTGAAAACAACGTTCAAACCTATGATTGCGTTGGATAAAAACCGCAATTTTTATACGTGTGCATGCAAAACAAATTTCTTTGTAGAGGGGTCTAAATACAGCACAAACAACATTTTCCAAAAGACCAAACAAGTGAAAAAGTATATTTTAACAAAACGCATTTGACTAGCAGGTCGAACAACGGATGTTCTTAAACCCTGCTGACTGCCATGGCGATTGCCAAATAAACGGATCACAGATGTAACACAATGGATCTTAATTATATTAATTTAATACCAAACAGAAAACAATAAACTTGCGGAAAAGATGGTATATCGCAAACATGAGGTGCAAAAATTTGTACACCATATCCGGATTTCGACAATTAATGTCTCTTCAGTGATGTTAGGAATCGAAACGGTATTTGGAAGGCCATATAATTTACCTCAATTTGGGATTGACTCTTGAATTTTGACGAGTCGAAATAGGATGAACGGATCATATAAACCCGAAGGCAAATATAATACAAGCCCAAACGAAAAAATATAAACAAGTCTAAATTGAAAACAACGTTCAAACCTATGATTGCGTTGGATAAAAACCGCAATTTTTATACGTGTGCATGCAAAACAAATTTCTTTGTAGAGGGGTCTAAATACAGCACAAACAACATTTTCCAAAAGACCAAACAAGTGAAAAAGTATATTTTAACAAAACGCATTTGACTAGCAGGTCGAACAACGGATGTTCTTAAACCCTGCTGACTGCCATGGCGATTGCCAAATAAACGGATCACAGATGTAACACAATGGATCTTAATTATATTAATTTAATACCAAACAGAAAACAATAAACTTGCGGAAAAGATGGTATATCGCAAACATGAGGTGCAAAAATTTGTACACCATATCCGGATTTCGACAATTAATGTCTCTTCAGTGATGTTAGGAATCGAAACGGTATTTGGAAGGCCATATAATTTACCTCAATTTGGGATTGACTCTTGAATTTTGACGAGTCGAAATAGGATGAACGGATCATATAAACCCGAAGGCAAATATAATACAAGCCCAAACGAAAAAATATAAACAAGTCTAAATTGAAAACAACGTTCAAACCTATGATTGCGTTGGATAAAAACCGCAATTTTTATACGTGTGCATGCAAAACAAATTTCTTTGTAGAGGGGTCTAAATACAGCACAAACAACATTTTCCAAAAGACCAAACAAGTGAAAAAGTATATTTTAACAAAACGCATTTGACTAGCTGGTCGAACAACGGATGTTCTTAAACCCTGCTGACTGCCATGGCGATTGCCAAATAAACGGATCACAGATGTAACACAATGGATCTTAATTATATTAATTTAATACCAAACAGAAAACAATAAACTTGCGGAAAAGATGGTATATCGCAAACATGAGGTGCAAAAATTTGTACACCATATCCGGATTTCGACAATTAATGTCTCTTCAGTGATGTTAGGAATCGAAACGGTATTTGGAAGGCCATATAATTTACCTCAATTTGGGATTGACTCTTGAATTTTGACGAGTCGAAATAGGATGAACGGATCATATAAAC